AGCGTAACTGCAGCATTGGCGTGGGCGCGCGGTCTTGCAGGCCAAAGGTGCCATGCGTTAGCGGCTGGTCTTGGGTTCCAGGTGGCTGCTAGGGGCCACAACAAGTGCACTTCCACTTCAGCTAGTCACGACAGGCGTTCACAAGCACCCTTTGCGTTGATCCAGTCACTACAAGTGCCCCCCTCCTTGACCATAGTTCGTTGATAAAAGAAATCGAACGACGGAAGAATAGTTAGATGTAATAAAGAAGGTACGTACCAAGGTAGGGTTGCAAACAGCGTGGGCGGCTGTGGTTGGCATGAATGAGCCAGGTTGCAGGAGCGTTTGTGGCTTGCATGAGTGGCTGTGGCTGACATGCGTAAGCCATGTCAGTGCCGTCAGTGCCCGTTAGTAGGAGGAAAGGCCATCTTGACTATGTGTGAGTGAGGAAGGATACCGTTGGTACTAGAAGTAGGATATCTGGGTGCTGGCACTTATAGCGGGAAATGCTCCGTAGTATGGGGAAGGAACCATAGCCTTGGGTCGATGGGCTGTGAGCGGTTGAGGTTCTCCGTATCGCTTCACGAGATGATGTCGGTAATTACATTCTTCATTTCGAGGCCAAATAAGATGACACAGGAAAAATGCATTTGAATGCGAGGGAGGCTTGATGATAATTGAGCACGGCCAAATCAGAAGTTGAGGATATACCTCATGTTGTGGGTCGCCAGTTATCGAAAAGTGTTAGGACTAGGAGGGTTAACCCTAAGGGCTATGATCTTCCAGACTCGGTTCCTTAAGAGAAGAGAGAAGTCTTGGGAAGGCCAGATTAGTGGGAGGAGTATATGCTTTACATTAAGAATTGAAGAAGAGGCAGTAGGAAATTGACTGCCAGAGGACCGCACAGTCGCAAGCCAGCGGACGGCGTCTGAAGTGAGGTCTATTTGGCAGTCTCCACAGCAGGGCCTGCGTGAGTCGGCCTGTGATTGATTTGTGGGATATAATGTTGTCCGGCCAGATAATAGGCGATCTAACGTATCCCAACATGTATGAGCTAGTTGATAGGATAAGGCGTGGAAGGCCATAGTGTCAGGGAGAACTTACTAAGGTGGGAAAAAGCGTAGTATGTAAGCAATAGGAAAGTGACTTCCAGACGACTGCAGGCCAGCCATGAATGAGCCGGAGTCCAGAGAGTGCAACTGAACAGTGAGTCGTCGGCTCTGGAAGTCAATGAGCGTAAAGAAATGTCCCGCATCTCGTGCACTGGTCTGTCCTTGAGAAGTGGTTGGCAAGTGAGACCAGACCGCCTTGAGAAAGCTAGACAGGGAATGACCTTGTCCCCGCGGCATCCGAGGAAAGCATGGCTAAGAATAAAGGGGTCGCTACAGATTTTTCGATCGGCCGAAAGCAGTAAGCGATCTGAAAGTGCACTTCGACTTGAGCTAGTCACGACAGGCGTCCACAAGTACACTTCGTGTTGAGCTAGTCTACACTCCCGCCTCATCTGATTGGCGGCAGCCGACAGGTTACTCATCCCACAGCCAAAACTTGACAAATCTTCACTTTTGCACCTACGCAGCGCTTGTAGCGGCTACCATAAAGCTACTTGAGTTCAGTAAATTTGTTCGAATTCATTCCGTTTCCCAGGACTTGTGATTTGGAGGTTCCTTCTGCTGCCAACAAAACCACTTGCGACAACTGGTGACTCCTTCCGAACACACTATTCCTCCAAATCTACAATTAAGTCAGATTTTTACAATGGCCAACTTTCCTCCACATATTCAGCGCACCTTGAGGCCTGCTGCTGGTTCTCTTATCGCAGGGGGTTAAGTGAGTTACTGCGATCTTTAGACCATGGTTACTTAGTGGAGAAGAAGTCGGTAAAGGCGAAAGTAGTGGGAAGAGTTTTTTGTGCACACAGGACGGAGAATAGATGGAGGAAGTCTGACTTGGGAGAACACGAGCATCCAGAAA